CATCATCATCATCATCATCATCATCATCATCATCATCATAATCATCATATCATCATCCTCACCATCATCATCATTAATTTTGTTGTACTTGCCATCATCATCATCATCATCATCATCATCATCATCATCATCATCATCATCATCATCATCGTCATCATCATCGTCATCGTCATCATCATCAATTCATATGAGTATTCTGTGATTGTGATCATGATCGCTTTATGATTATTATTATGGTTATTATTCTTGTGATTATTATTATTATTATATTTATTATTATTATTATTATTATTGATATTATTATAATAAATATCAAAACTGGAATTCTGAGTATTATTCACAATTATAACGACATGTATCAATGATGCTATTACTATTACACTACCTATCTTTTTTTTTAAATCAATATCGTTACTGTTGTTATTCTTTTAAGGGTATTTGAGTTGTCATTGTTCTCATCTCTCTAATCACGTGGCTGTCTTCGTTTCTCTCGCATCACTGCCGCCATTCTATTGTCACTGTCATCATTTCTCTCTCATCGCTGTCGTCATTTCTCTGTTGTCACTGTCGTAATTTCTCTCGCCACTGCCATCACTTCTGTTGTTACTGTCATCATTTCTCTCACGCCTTTGTCGTCGTTTCCCTCGTCACTGTCACCATCGTGTTCGTCATCGTCGTCATCTCTCTCTCGTCACTGTCGTCATTTCTCTGTCGTCACTGTCATTATCTTTTTCGTCACTATCGTCATTTCTCTGTTTCTCTCTCGTCACTGTCATAATTTTTTTCGTCATTTTCGTCATTTCTCCGTTTCTCTTCTTCGTCACTGTCATAATCTTTTTCGTCACTATCGTCATTTCTCCGTTTCTCTCTGGTCACTGTCATAACATTGTTCGTCATGGCATTGTTGTCATTTCTCTCTAGCCACTGCCGTCATTTCACTCTCGTAATTGTAATAATCAATTCCGTCTTCGTCGTCATGTCTCTCTCGTCAAGTCACTGTCTTTCGGTGAGACCCTCCGACTAGAACAGCTGCTATAGTTCCTGGCGTCTGTGGAGTAGCGGTTACGGTCTTTTTGACTCCTATCTGAGAATTTGTTTGTTGCTGGATTTTTAGTTGTTGTTTTTTTTATCTACTATCTCTGAGTGTCCGCTTAGACGTTGCATCCTCCGGCCTGGACCTGGAAGACAGGGTAATAACAGCCAGACTCATAAATGATTCAGATTGGGTCGATTGGGGTGTAAACTATCTCTAATTACATTCTCAACAGCTGGTCCTTTTTTTCGAAAAATTTCAAAACAAAAACGTACGCGATGCAGATCCAAACTAGTCCGCCTACGTTAAATTTAGTTCAGTAGACCGCTACAAAAAGCAATACTATTTGAACAACCAAATGTTAACAACGTTATTCAAGTAATTAAAAATGCCACAGACGCACGAGCGCACTGCTCTAACGATACATATTAATGTATAATATATCTTTTCTACCTTAATCCTCGTGTTCAACTTGGTGTTCATTTCTTCGAACGCGAATCACGCCAATCGAAGGCAATAAAAAGGCAATCCGACTCTGCATTAGACCGGTTGAGAAGTGAAATGTGGTTTGTTTTGCGTTTTGTTTCGTTTTGTTTTGTTGTTGTTTAGGTTTTTGTTTTCTGTTTTTGGTTGGGGTTTGTGGCTTTTTTGGCTTATTTTGGGGAGGGGTCAGGTACCACAACAAATTATCTCAAAACGAAGTTCAACCAACCAAATAATAACAACAATAAGAAGAAGAAGAAGAATGTAATAATAA